TTCTTCTGGCTGTGTCTCAGCCTTCAGCAATATGGGGCAACAGGAAACTTGCTTTAGGGATGTCAGCTGGAGTTTAGATTTTTCAAAATGTACCTCGTTTGTGTCCATACTGGGAGTCAGTGCAGTCGCTCAGTGTTCTGTAAATTCATGCTTTGTTTTAGTGTAAGCAGATTCTTTTTCCAGATAGACAAGCCCATAAACTCAGGCTTCTGTTTTATTTCTCTCCTGTTAGAAAATATATGTTACTAAACAAGTGCAGAATTAACCCCTTTGTACCCTGAAACGAGGATTGTCCCTAAACTGGTGGGATAGTGTTTCTTAGGTATGTAAAACAGCTGTTGGGTATAGAATCATCTAGTCTTTCCAATTTCAATAATTTTCTCCTTCTGCTGCTTCTGTTGACCGTGTTTTTCTGGGCACTGGTCAGTCACAGGGTCCTCACAAGTGTACAGGCTGAAGAGGCAAGCCAGGCAGAGAAGGGGAAGGTGAAAGTAGTAGTATCTCTATAGATAGTACGGAGAAATGACAGCTGGGAGGAGAGTGATTTGCCTGTTGCCTTTTAGGAAGTTAATGGGAAGACAAGGAAAGAGAAGCCAGTTCTGTTGACTTCCAGTTCTGTGGGTTTTCTTCCCACCTCCTTCCACTTCAGTTTCTAAACGTATCATAGATTAGAAAGGGGGTCAGACATTTTAATAGATGCTCGAAGAGATTTTGAAAATCCCTGAACTTGAGGCAGTCCAACAATTTTGTGTACACTTGTTGTTTTGTGCTCCATAAAAGGAATCACTCATTCATACAACAGAAGAACAGTGGCAGCAGATAGAAGCATCTCCATGCTGCTTTCCCTCTGTTCTTTGCCTTTTTGCTTTCTTGTCTTTTCTGGGATTATCACGTTTGTTCAGAAAGTACAATAATGCTTCCTACCTTTTTCCAGACGCCTATGCATGGACACCAAGAATATTCCTCCTCACCAGTATTCCAGATGCCGAGGACTTCAGCCAGGCAGCCTTCGGCACCCCCTGCTCAGCTTCCACACAACAACCTTCAGGGCCAGGGCCTTTGCTACACCACCAGTTCCACTGAGGACCTCCAGCCAGGTCACTCTTCAGCCTCTCTTATCAAAGCAATTAGAGAAGAACTTCTACGACTTTCTCAGAAACAGACAACAGTGCAGAACTTCCATAGTTGATTTAGCATTCCCTTGCAAATCTGCCAGGTATCTGCTTCCTATGGAAGCAAAGACTTAGAGGAATTCAGTAAATGTTGTTCTCTCAAAAGAATGAAATTTCACAGCTCTGTTGACAACACTCTGGAAAAAAAAAGAAAAAAGGCAGCAAAATGAGGATAGTAAGGAGAGATGGGGGACAAACAGGGAAAATCGTCAGTGTCATCACAAGTAATATTAATTAATCTTCTAATATTACGGTGCTCCTCTTCTCTCTCTACCCTCATTCAGCCTAACAAGTAAGTAAAACCTTAGGTCAAGAAGTCAACACTCCAGCAACAAAAAAACCCACAGGAACAAACTTCAAGTATGATAGACTCCTTTTTCTAAGGAAGCAGGTGAAGGTTTGAATAAACTGAGATGACATTTTGCAAGACAAGTATTCTGATCTCTCCAGTGCTTCTGGGGAACTGGTTTCTGTTGCTGTTCTGCAAGATTACAAACTGTATCAGCTCAAGGGTGTTCAAGGTGTGATCCCGCGTAAGAATCACTTTGGTTGTCAGGAACAGTGGGACTATGTTGAATAAAAGTCTTTGAGCTACTTGTAACAAACTGGAACAATAATTGTTATAGCTCTGTGCTTCCGAATGGAGCTACCCTCTGCACTCTTCCTTGTTTTCCTTCTGGTGCTGAAGCTTCAAGTGTTCCTTCATCTTCAATGTTTGCAAAGTGAAACATTGGCCTTGTATAACTAAGAAAATATCTGTAGACTCATTCAGGCTGGAAAAAACAGAGCAAAGCATCCAAACAGAAAGGGCTTGGTATTTATTTTGTTAAAAATTATTGAAAACTAGGAGAGGAGTACTCAGCCACAGTTGAATTTGGGGAAATGTGTATGTGTATCTTTAAAAAAATCTATTTACATACTATATGCTCTTGCAAGACCAGCGATAAAATATTGCTACTCTGTAGTTTGCTTTGTGGACAGAAACCGGTCCAGCCTGACTGGTACAGGGTCACCAGCATTATGTTATAAATTGATGTCCTAAATCATTGCTTATGTTTGGATCTGAATAATTTTAGTGAAAGTCAGTGACAGTTTAGAGCATTAACATAGGCTTAGGTTTGCAGTTTTGAGACAGTTTCTATATTTATACTTGTTTCCACTGTCCCTTTGGACAAAGGGTAAGCATTATCCCCATGGTAAGAATGGTACGTGCCATGGAACTGTTCGTCGCTGTTTTTTTCCAGAGTTTTAATTTAATATTAGCTACGAATTTACTAATGTTTGCCCATTACATAACTGTAACTGACATAATACATACAAAAATTTTACTTAAGTCATGATTTGTTGGAGTGTTTTTATTTTCAGATCAGACTAAACTAAAGCTAACAGACTGGCACAGAGATAGAGGGTAAGCTGGTAAGCTCAGTGTTCATGAGGAGGCTTGGGAGCCTTGCCCTAGAAAAATGGAAAGCAAAACTATTTGGTTACTAGCTATTTGGTTACTATTGCTAGCAGATGGTAGTAGTAAAAGGTCTAAGGAACAGTAGTCCACCAAAGAAATGGTTGGGCAGTTGATCAGGGTAGGGTGGCGTTTGCCTCACTGGGGTAGAAATACCATTGGTAAAATACAGGTGTATAACACTGGTATGCTGTGGTGGTCGTTGGCTACCAAATCTGTTCCTGGTTCCAGCACACGGTTCGAAAACTGTGACAGGACTAACTCAGATTGAAATGAAAACAGGTAGGAGGACGCCACGGAAGAACCTTATGTACCTTGTTCATGGAAGGTCTACGTAATATTCATTGCCAAAGCCAAAACTGGGAAGCAACTGGCTGCTCACTGATGTGGGGGAAAAAAAAGGTAGTATATTTCCCCTCTTTATTGGGAAGCTCAGTTGGTTTTCTGTTTACCCACGATCATCAAAAGGCTATATGAAATTGTTTTAAGGGACTTACTGTAGTGAAGGAGTCTAAATTAATTTCCAGTTCCTTGGCCAATACATAAACCTCATGGGCACTGGTTGAGGTTTGAATGGAGTCAGAACAGCAGCATGGTTGTGAACAGCAGTACCAACGGGTTGTTATGTTTTGAATTTTTTAAGCTTTCTGTGTGATAATCACTTCTGGGATAAAAATAAAGAAACATTTATTTTCTGCCAAGTTTGTAAACATGAATAATGCCAAGACTTCTGCAAAATGTCAGGTCTTGCAGAATGAAGAGTGTGTCGAGCAATGTTCGTTTGGTCTTTTTGACAATGCTGAAGGCTGACTGTTCCCATTAAAACCATCTCTTTCAGAGCCCGCATCCTTCTCCAGCTCAATTCTGCGGTGAGGTCAGAGGCCAGTGCTTATAATATTAGCACGTTACTGTGACTTCATTTCAAGAAAATGTGGGCTTCTAAAAAGCAAGTTCATTGTCTGGTTACTAGTTCCAGCTATTTAAGAAGGAATATGAAATAAGGGCTTTGAAAGTTAGAGGTACATAAGCCATTTCTCATTTATTTTTACTAGTGATTGTGATGCTATTATGATATTCCATATTTTTCTGTTTGGAAGAGTATCCTCTTTCTTTTCGGTCCCAAATCTTATGAAGAACCCATACAGGACAAATATGTACTGGTAAATGAAAGAAGCTTTCGGATTCAAAAATCTCTCTTTAAAACCTTACAAGTTCATAGGGCAGAACAGCAAAATGTAAGACAGGTAGCTGTGTTTGGAAGTTACATTCTCCAACTGGCTGGAGACATGATCTAGTATTCACAAGGAAATGGTATGGCATAGTCTGTATCTTCGTATAGTAAGAAAAGTAACACATAAGGTGCCAGTTCCAAGGATGGTCTTAACAAGGGAGACCCACACTTTACTTTCTGCAGCCAGAGGAAAAGCTGAAGTTTTGATGTGCTACAAAAGGGCCCTGTGGAATGCATGTGCCAAAATGTGTATTTCCACTTGGGAATTCAGGGAAAAAAATGTATAAGCTTCTGCATTCCCATGTGCTTGAGCTCTTTTGCCAATTATTTTTATTGCCCTATTAAAGAGGGGGGGGGGAGGGCAGACTCAAACCTTTTTTTCTGAAACTTTAAGTATCCTGAATTTAAGTATCTGTTAATTGGTCTGCCAGTTTCTGAAATCACGGATCAGATGAGAGGTTGATACAGGCACAGAAAGCTGTTACCAACAGTTACAGCCATTTCCATGACTAAACCATCTGGTTCATGGAATCCTCAGGCTCTTCTCTTTCTTCACAATTTTCCTTGACATTTGTATTTAGTCTGTGTTTAGTGTGGCATATAGAAGAACTTGGCGAGATGAGAGCTACATAATTTAGCTTGGTTGATTTTTTTTTTTTGCTTTTCATGGCCAAAATGTTGACCTCTAGCCTGCTTCTTGATTATCTTTGGAGCTAAGTGAAATTTTACCATTATTTTTCATACACTCAGTTTGAAAGGCGGAGCACACTTCAGTACTATTAAATATTCTCTAGCAGGATGTCACTCATGGTCCTGACAGTGACTGTGGGCATGTGACTTGGGAAAGAAAACTCCTTGCTTTTAGGAGGAGTGAATTGCATAGGTGCTGGACTCACAATGTTAAATTTGTGCACTTTGGAGCAATAACTGGTGTGTCACTGACCTTTTGCAATGTACTGTGCTTGCAGTGGTTTGGAACAGGCTTCACCCTTGAGCTATCCCCCCAACATGGGGATAATTCCTGTTTGGAACAGGAACACTTCATATATAGTGGTTGGAGAGCAGCAGCGTCACACAAGGTCTGTATGTCACTATATCACCTCTGCACCCAAAGGAGTGGTTGGCGAGGTGTTGGCTACCCTGATATCACACACCTAAATTAAATGCACATTAATATGTAACTAGATTGATTACTCAAAACTGTGTGCTCCTACCAAGTGCTGAAGCCAGTGCCTTTAAATTAGAGCGCTGACAGCAGGGTTACAGCGTTATCTTAGAAAGAGGCTGTTTACAGGGATCATAACTTCCCAAGAAGAGCTGACGCTGTTGTGTGTTAACCCACGGCTTGAAAACACATTAGATGGATTACACAAGGAAGCTGGTATGTATTTGGGCCCAAGTGAAGTCACCAGTTGTGTGATGTGGATGGCAGTAGGCAGTTAAACTAATTTTTTTTAACCCTCACCCTCACTACATTCTCCCCTTTTCCAGCTTCAACAATTTTTCAGCTCAAGGAAGAAATGGGTGTTTCCCATTCCATGCCTTATCTAGCAGTTCTTTGTTAACAGGTGCCAGTCCTTGAAAAAAACATATCTTGGCCAAGAGCTTCGAAGTGGCAGGATGAAAAACTTTTGTGACTTTGAGATGGAAACATGTCGTGGGCCTTATTTTTCCAGGAGCAAAGAAATAAATGGATTAAAAAACAAAACAACACCTGTTTGGTGTTTTCTGATTATGGACATAAAGCTGAAAATGGATTGTCAGAAGGCAAAGGGCAGTAACCAGGTCTCCAGGACCTCCTGTGACTGTGCACTAAAAAGAGAGAGAGAAAATGTTGGGGACTCCCCCTGCCCCCGCTGAAGCTGATTCCATAACACAACCCCACTTCTGTGCAGTCCTTCACCACTTGCGGTGCTCGTCTGTATGAGTGAGGAACATCTCTCATCAGGGAGACTCCCAAAAGCAGTTCACCATGGCTGTAGAGTTTCTCCAGGACTGTTTAGATGTGCCTAGAGAAAAGTAGCAGCTTTGAGGTGCTTAAATGTGGAGTTATCTTTCCTCTTTCTGTTATGTTTTATTTAGAAGTGGAGGGGAAGCCCTGGGGATGCATTCTACTGTCACCAACCTGCTGTCATTCGCGTATTCCACTACCTGTACGTCCTAAATACTGAGGAAGCAGAAATTGAGAATGAAAGTTTTTGGCAATGCTGATGAAGATTCACTGTAGGTTTGCAGTATTTTGGTGTGAGTGCACTTGAGTGCTTGAAAAGTCCAGTGTCTCTGTTACGGTGAATGTCCCTTGAAACACAGCTTATCTCAGAAGGACTGTAAAAATTTACGTCAGTATCTCTGACAGAACAAGCTCAGCTTGTGACAGCTCATACCAGTAGGATGGGTAGTTCCCATAGATGGGTAATTCAGATCCAAATGTTGGTCTGCATATTGTCCCTGGTCACATCTGCATGACTTCCACTGAAAACCTTTTAGTCGCATGTGTGCTTTGGAGGGACAATTTATCCTACACATTTTTTGGTACAGTTTGGGATGCACTTGGCAAGATGTGTCTAGCTTGACGTACAAGTCCCAGGGTGAGTTTACTCACCCTGAGAGTAAGAAACTTGAGAAGCAAAAATCCTATGGAGTTGCGC